CCACTACAAAGACCAAAAAACAGGCTATAAAATAGCCTTGAAGAACAGAAAATCAATCTCTGAGGAGAATTCAATAGACGCAATCTGTGAGATGTCAAACAAAGTTCCTTATTGGAAGTTTAGACAATGAGTGTCTAATATATAAAGAGATGTCCAACTCTAATTAGTAGGAGATTTTTTGGGAAAGAAATCAAAAGTAAATACATGTGAACTTGTCTCTGAGCCCCAAAGTGAACAATATCATACTATTTAAAAAATATAGAGAGTTAGACATGGACTCACACAAAACCAACAGTTGATATTAGAGCCATGTTGACGAGAAATATGCAAAAAGACTAAAATACCTTTCGAGATAATGGTACCCTTCGAGATATGAATAAGAGATATATGGTAGAGATCAAGTCAAAAGATCCTAAAATTCAGTTTTGGGACAGAAGATGAATGGATCCTTAGTTTGAGGGGAAAAATGTGAGATATCAAACAAAGTTTCATATTGGAAGTTTTGACAATGAGTGTATAATAGATAAAGAGAAGTCCAACTCTAATTAGTAGGAGATCTTTTAGGAAGAATATTAAAAGTAAATCCATGCGGTTCTGCCTCTTAAGCCGAAAATGAACAATATCGTACAATTTATACAATATAGATTTGGACATGGACTTTAACAATCCCAATCAATCGACCGGAACAAATGTGTTTGGGATATACAACTTGTCCCAAGCTTAAGCTGTTTATGTGCAAGCTTTGCAAGAAGCCCACTCCGTCGGGGACAGACTCACTACAAGAAACATAGACTTAGTCTAAAAGGTGAATTTTCAAATACTTTTTTTTCTTCATTGCAACTTTCTTAAAAAGTTTGGAAGCTTGCTCCATTCTCTAGATCGATTGATGTTTATTTAATTTTTCTTGGATTCAGCGTAATAAAAACAGGGATGTTGATGCTCTCGCTATGCAAACTCTGTTTTCTCCACAAGACAAGTTGTCACCAATTGTCTTGTGTAAGGTTGTTAAAGGGTGAGGTGTTGGGTTCAAGGAACGTCAAACACACCAATAATCTACTGGTAGATGTAGAATTGTTTCCTTCCACAAGACAAATTGTTACCAATTGACCCTAAATATTTCATTTTAAGTTCAATGCAAGTTTCTGTTACAAAAATAGAATAACTAAACCTGTTGAGAAATGGTGGTTGGGACATATCCGGAAAATGGACCAGACCACATCAGTCTACTTCAGTTCCAAGACCAAGCGGCCAGTAGCTTGTCCTTATCCATACCAGGCGCCAAGCTCTTGTCATTATCCACACGTCCAGCTCCTTGTGTTTATCCATATGTTGTAGTTATCCTAATCATTATAGGATTAGGATAATCATCCCCTTTATTGTTGTAATCCTTATCAGCTTAGGTTTATGTTTATCTCTAAGCTTAAGGATGTATATATATATATGTATGTGACCACGTGATTAATAATACATACACACAAGTTACAACAACCTTCTTTATTCCACAACACGTTATCAGCACGAGCTCTACCCTAGCACTAAAATCCGTAGCTCTCTCTCTTTTGGCGGCTGCAGAAAAACCCTAATCCCTGCAGCAACTTCAAAACGCGGTATCTCTCTAACCACGAAGCTCCAGACAACGATCAACATATCAATCTGAATCTCTTGAAGAGAAGAATCCATCAGTTCAAACACCGCGTCAATCCGACACCGGAATCAACCGCAATCACCAAAACAATACGGCGGGCTAAAATCTCCTTTTTCCAATCCGGGAAACCCTAGAGATTTTCTCTTACTCAATGCCTTACACCTAACTTCTCCTTAAATTTGTTACATTATTTTGAAGAAGAAACCTAAGAGAGAACTAAGATGTAACAAATTTAAGGAGAAGTAAGGTGTAAGGCGTTGAGTAAGAGAGAAAATCTCTAGGGTTTCCCGGATTGGAAAAAAGAGATTTTAGCCCGCCGTATTGTTTTGGTGATTTCGGTTGATTCCGGTGTCGGATTGACGCGCTATTTGAACTGCTGGATTCTTCTCTTCAAGAGCTTCAGATGGATATGTGGATCGTCGTCTGGAGCTTCGTGGTTAGAGAGATACAGCGTTTTGAAGTTGCTGCAGGGATTAGGGTTTTTCTGCAGCCGCCAAGAGAGAGAGAGCTACGGATTTTAGTGGTAGGGTAGAGCTCGTGTTGATAACGTGTTGTGGAATAAAGAAGGTTGTTGTAACTTGTGTGTATGTATTATTAATCACGTGGTCACATACATACATATATATATATACATCCTTAAGCTTAGAGATAAACATAAACCTAAGCTGATAAGGATTACAACAATAAAGGGGATGATTATCCTAATCCTATAATGATTAGGATAACTACAACATATGGATAAACACAAGGAGCTGGACGTGTGGATAATGACAAGAGCTTGGCGCCTGGTATGGATAAGGACAAGCTGCTGGCCGCCTGGTCTTGGGACTGAAGTAGACTGATGTGGTCTGGTCCATTTCCCGGATATGTCGCAACCACCATTTCTCAACAAAACCAATATTGATTGAATAAAGAGATCCCATCAGGAAAATAATGCCCTTACATCAATATCATATAACGAATAAAAAGATAAACTAAAACCGATATTGGACAAGTAGCAGACAATCTAACTATTAGTGATGGACCTAACTCACACCCAAAATCTAGCTCAAGAGTGGAAGATTACCCATACACATATATACTGCCCAAATTTCACATCTTTTATCGATGTGGGACTTTAATAGCCCCTCTCGAGATGTGGGTGGGAAACGGTCTATAGGGAAACAGCCCAAGCCCAACATCTCGGAAATACCACAGCATATGGGTCACTTTTACAGGCTACGTAGGTAGGAAACTGTTCATGTGGGAAATCATAATGCTGAGCCAAACCTGGCTTTGATACCATATTGAGAGAGAAGACACTCGAGAACATAAAATGTATTTCTCATTAACTTAGGGGAAAAATGTACATGAGAAGGAGTATTTATACTCCCGTATATAGACTCTATACTCGCTAATATGTACACGTATACAAGTAAGTATATACATCTAATAAGAATCTCTCCTCTTTCCTCGAAGGAAGAAGTCAAGAAAGTGAAAGTAGAGATGGCTCTGATCGACGCCACACGAGTTAAAGATGGAGCTAATGAGCTTAAAACGGCAAAGAATCATCCATCAAATCAGAAGTAGTAAGAAATGGATGTGCATTGGTGTCATTGTGTTTGCTTTTCATCATTCTTATTGTTGTCATCCCCCATCAAGACCAGTTTCACCTCTTCTTGAGAGACATGACTTATTAGTGTTTGTTTTATGCAGAGATTCATTCTGTCTTACTCTCTCCCGGCTCACACCCATATCGTCTGTCTCACCAATCTCTTGCAACGTCTTCTGCATCCTCCCATCTTCCATTCCAACGTATCACCTGCTTCTCTCTTATACTCAACGAGGCCTCAACACTTTTGTCCAAGTCCTCTCCCATGAACTGATTTATCAGTATATCCTATATATGAAAATTCGGCTTAAGGATCTGATACGACTTCTTCCTGCATTCACAAACAGAAGGTTTTTGATTGATTCTCTTCTGGCCATTCAAATGACCTTGGCTTGGAGGCTTAGTGATGAGATACAAAATGAAAAAAAGATGACGTGGCCATCTTTATGAAGACCACTAAGCTTATATATATGTTCTCTTTTCTCCATAAGTTTTCGAATCTACACTTGAGTCATTGACGTGTGTGTATATATATATATATATATACACAATTATAAAATTAGTATTTTTTATGTTTGTAAATGTCGTTTTGTCTACCTTTTGCTAAAAGTTCATAAATATTTCAGAACAAAAAATCAAAACAATCACAGTGTTTTTTAATACAAGTCTACTCTTTTTTTTTGTCAAATACAATTATACTTTTAAATGTCATTTTATTAGTGTGTCAACTTTCTAATTTATACTTTGATAATTTTGAGAGTTCGAATTTATTCTGTATATTCCATTGGCCATAATGTATGTGCGAACTCATTATCAAATGAGACTATAAAAAAATATAGTATTTTCATGTAAACCACACATAATTACATAGAGTTTTCTTTTGAGAAAGATAATTAGATAGAGTTGTTTTTTAGAATAACACTTCTACTGATTAAAACTTGGTTTAATCATTAATCATATGATTAAACAAAAAGAAGCCAATATATTTAACAGTTTAGAATGAGAAATAATAATAGCAAAGCCAAAGACCACGTACGTTTACTTCTAAAAACACTCCAAAGATCTATGAGTTTCATAATTCTGGAATGTTACTGGACCGGGTCAATAATATTGGCCAATCTTAGATATTGGAATGTCGACGTTGAGTTACGTTACGTTTGATCAATTCTTAAATTAAGCAAAAACATTGCCTCAAATGTTTCTGGTCGGCAACCGCTTTCTTGACCGTTAACCTCTGATTAAGAAAAAAAAACTTGTTAACCGAAACTACACGTTGACCTTTGGCACCTGTTTCCATGTTCATACGACTGCCTCGGTCTACACGATATAAAAAAAAAACACTTTTCACTAATCCTATCCATACACGTAGTCAACCACATGGTTATAACAATACAACGACGAAAAAAGTGAAGCTTCCCTAACGACGCCCACCGATATGAATCTGTGCTGCAGCAGTGTCAAAAACAAGTGGCTGGTCTTCATAATTTAATATCTTTGTCCTAATCCGATTTAAAATGAAGAAAAAAGCGTGTGTTTTGAACTTTTGACCTAACCATACAAATTTAAAACGAGGTCAAAATATCTAATAAGACACTCTTTTCCCACGTCTATGACACTTTCTTCTTAATTAATTTATTTATTTATTTTCTACAACTTGACACACGCCTATATATAAATTTAGCATCCTTTTTCTCCCTCATTTTCAGTTTCCAATTCAAACAAACAAAATATACAAAAGAATATAACTTATTTGTGTAATCTATCATGAAGAATGCTCAACCTCAATCATCTTTCATGAAACTCTCACCGGAGAGGAAAGACTCATCCACAGAGATTCAACATATCAAGAACGGTGATCATGACAAGAACAGAGACATAGAGGCTGTCTTTGCTCACATGGACGCAAACAAAGACGGTAAAATCTCTCCAGACGAGCTTCAAAAGAGTTTCATGACACTAGGAGAGCAATTATCTGACGAAGAAGCCGAAACTGCGGTTAGATTGTCTGATACAGACGGAGATGGGATGTTGGATTTTGAGGAGTTTTCTCAGTTAATCAAAGGAGATGATAAATGTTCAGAGGAAGAGAAGAAGATGGAGCTTAAGGAAGCTTTCAGAATGTATATAGCAGAAGGTGAAGAGTTTATTACTCCTAAAAGCTTGAAGATGATGCTAAAGAAGCTAGGTGAATCAAGAACAACTGATGATTGTAGAGTTATGATTCGTGCTTTTGATCTCAATGATGATGGTGTCTTAAGCTTCGATGAGTTTGCTCTTATGATGCGTTAAAATCAGTTATTAAAAATCCTGTCATGGCATGGGTTTAGGTCCGGTGGGCTAATCGTCGATCACGCTTTGTGGTCGGATACTGGATTATCAAAAAAAAAAAAAAAAAAAAGATCAGTTATTTCTCTATTCTTCTTGTAGCTTCTCCTGTTTTTTTTTTATTATTATGTTTTATTGGTGTATATAATTAATAGCTTGTTAGGCAATAAACACGATTTTTTTATTTCATTATTGTTAAACTTGTTTATTATTATGTTTGATTGGTGAGAAAATTTAGCAGGAACATGTCGAGTCCATAGAGATTTGACCATGTCATGTTCTTTCGCGACGAACACATTTCAAGACAAAAGCTGAGCATGTGACAATCAATAATAGGACAACTAGATTCAAGATGAGTTTTAGTCAGGTATTCACATAACGGTTACAATGGGAGGAATCTAATAAGATCCCATTTTTATTAACTTTCTAACATATTCCCTCTAAATAATGGTTTTATTAGTCACTTTCAAACCGAATCTATCTTCTGTGTCATAACACACGTTAACACCTTTCGCTCCTTTTTTGAAGTTAGAGCATGATCAATGGAGGGGTTTTAGGGAGTTTCTTAGGAGGGGGGGCCATAAAAAGAGGAGAAAAAAGAGAAACACTGCTGCCAAAAATCCAGAATAAACAGGAAGCTTGTTCTATTTCGTAGGTTTCATGCTACGTGGCGACTCACGATTGGTCAAATTTCTTTTTTTTTCATAGAAAAAAGGAAAAAAAATTAAAAATTAAAAAAAAAAAACACTCATGCGTTGATGCTGCTCTTAGTATCGAGTTGTTTTCATCTAAAGGCTCAATCATGGTGGATGTATAGAACAATATATTCTAGTAGACTTGGTTTTGTCCAAAAAAATAAAAATATTCTAGTAGACTTAGTAAAAGGACCAGTAGACTTGGTTTTGTCCAAATAGGGTTTAGCGGATTTTATTACTACATAAATATAATCTCTTTGTACAATTAAAACTCATGTGAAAAGCAAGTGGCACTTCAAATGTAAGAAAAACTAGATCATAACCCGCCCGACTGGGCGGGTATTTATTTTTATGGTATATATAAACATTTCAAAAATTACAATCTAATGGTTCCAATTTGACTAAGTAATAATACATTATTTAAACATTGTATTTCATCACTGTATTGTGTAACAGGGGCGCCGCAAAATATTGTGACCCGTAAACATTTTATTAATAGTTTATAAATTTTTTTTTTGCTAAATTTGGTGCAAAATTATATACATTAAACAATTTATTCAAATTTTAAGTTAATTTTTTTAATGAAGAATTGAAAGGCTAGTATATCACTGTTTAAAATTTATAACAATAGTCAATATAAATTATATAAATAAAATATATATTATTCTTGATTTATTTTAAGTACATTTAAAACATGAATACATATATGTATAAATAATTTTCAGAAATAAAATAATATCAATGATAGAAACCCAAAAACAATAATAATGATACTTTGGGTCGCAGTAATCTTTAGTTTAATAAATAAGCCCATTAGATTTGTAGTCTATTCTTGTTTCTAATCATTATAATTTTAAATAGCTATTCATGTTTCCAAACACTAATTTTTTGTACTTCAGCTTTAATAGTATAGATGCATTAGGCTCATTGTTGTTACACTTAGAAAACACAAGTGGCATTTCAAATGTTATATTTATCTAAATTACTCTTTCTTAATCATATGTCCTCCTAAATACAAAATAAGAAAAGCGCGTTTTAAACACGAGGATGAGACTTGTATAAGTTGTAGCTAATATACTATAGATCAAAATTAATTAACGACTAATAGTACGTTTCCTTCTAGATTTAAAGACAAATAATGTTTTCTTCTAGATCTAAAGACTAATCTTGAATCTCCCACATTTGAAACGTTTTAATTTTTGTTATTAACATGTTCCATTCTATTATCGACCACCATAAATAATACTATATATAAAAAAAAACCTTTAGACCATTTTCTCATTCAATTCTTGATTCAAAACGAAAAAGGGAAAAACATTTGTAACTCTTTTGTCTTCATGAAGGCTACTCAACGTCAGTTATCTTCATCTTTCACCAAATTCAGCGAGCAAATGTCATTAGACATGAGTGGTACGGAGAAGAATAGAGACTTGCAATCTGTGTTTGCTTACAAGGATGCAAATAATGAGCGGATGATCTTAAGAAGATTTTCAAGACACTGGGAGAGAAACTGTCTGACGAAGAGGCAGAAGCTGCTGTTAAACTGTCAGACCTAGACGGAGATGGAATGTTGGATTTTGATGAGTTTACTCAGTTAATCAAAGGAGATTATGAATTTACAGAGGAAGAGAAGCAGAGCAAGATAATGGAAGCATTTAGGATGCTGATGAAGCTTGGTGAGTCAAGAACTACTGATGATGGCTTACTCATGATTAAAGCTTTTGATTTTTAATGATGATGGAGTTTTAAGCTTTGATGAGTTTGCTCTTATGATGCGTTAAGCATCAACGTATATTTGCAGGTCTAGCTTTTAGTTTTTCATTAGTTTCCATGTGCATGGTTCCGATTCCATTGTTCTCATTCACAAAAACTATATGTCAAAAAGCATCATACATATGTATGGGGAAAATAAAAAAAAAAACATAACATGAAACTACTCTTCTCAGTTCGGGAATTCGGATTTCAGATTTTGGTTCTTAGCTATGTTGAACAAGCTAAGAAACACAGCTTGTTCCTCCTTTTCGGCTTTTTTATTTTGCACCTCCTTCTTGGCTTCGCTTTTTTTTTTTGATCAAACCAACTTGTATTAATCTTAGGAGAGTTTAAGCCCCATCAAAGGAGAATACAACCAAGCTAAAAAGAGCTAAAGGAAACATGAAACATATAAGATCTAAGATAGAATCGAAATACAAATCACAACAAGTAAACATTAGAAATCGTATCACAACGGTTCCATAAGCTTCTTGAAAGATTGCATCTCGTGTAACCCAAAGAGTCACAACCACTACACTAAAGGCAGTGAAGAGTGTTAGCCGGGAGGAGAATCCTTGCAATACCAGCCACACATGATCATCCAATTCACTCCATACATGAGGAAATATTGGAAAAGAGACGTCTCCAACCAGGAGACCAACGGGAAATCAGAACCCGCCATAACCATATTGATCAAGCAACAAGTCACAAGGCTTTTCTCTTTTAACGTCTCCTTCTTGGCTTAGCTATGCAACACAAAATGGCCAATTGTTTCAATCCTACTAAACATCAGGCCTGTTTATCTAATTTGGGCTTTAATCAGCCAGTCTTTTTTTCTCTGACACCATACTTGCAACTAGCAAATAATTTGTTTCTTAGAAAGTTAAACTAGTTATTTTGAGATTTATAACTGAATCACAACCAATTTGTTAAGGTCATATTTTTAATCTAAAACTTTATGGTTAAATTTCTTTTTGAAAAACCCATGCAATTATCATACTAACAAGTGATGATTGATGAAGACCAGAGACATGGATTAAAGCTTTTTTTTTTAAACATCAACTCCCTATTTTCAAATTAGGTAATTTGAGAATGGGGTTACCTAATTTGAGAATGAGGAAAACATCAACTCCCCATTCTCAAATTAGGTAATCCCTGATAGTTTGAATTCTATAATATGTCTATATGTATATATAAAATTCAGAGGATTATTTTATCTATTTATTTGATTTTCAATTTGCTAAATGTATCGTGAGTAATTTTCACAATGAGCAGTATAATTTTTTTTCTGATTTCTTTTTGGATATCTCAAAGAAACACGAAAAAAATATTTCATAATTACCTTATAAAAAGGAGTTAATTGGGTGTAAAACCATCAAAGAAGCAAATATTAAGTATATGCCATAAACAGTATGACATAGAGAAAGTACTCCAAACGCGAGAATCGTAAATGACGGTAAGACCCTCAACACTTGCCAAAATAGAGTTCAGGTAGTCTAGGTCTGTAGGTTTTTAATTCGTAGGATTTTATTTAGATTTTGTAGAGATTGTA